TTTAATTAAATATTAAATCCACTGGAGGAGAAGGTAGATAGAAATCTTGAAGATCTAGGGGTAGGCATAGAGTTCATGAACAAAAACCGAACTGCATGAGAAATACCTCAAAGAATCAACCACCAGGATCTCATCTTTTTTTTTTTTTGGCGGAACCAGAGATTGAACTCATACCCTCGAGCTTGCCAGGCAAGCTCTTATTCTACTGAGCCATCTCCCCAGCCCCAGGATCTCATCTTTTCCAAAAGTTTTGGCATATTATGGTTTGTGTCTAGTCGTCCTCCCAAGGCCTCATGCAGTCATGGGGTGAAGACTTCTGGAGTTTGAGAGTAATTCATGATCCACTGCGATTATGGGTGTTAGTATTGCTGGTATTATGGGTGTAAGTGCTACACCCAGCCTGGGATGGGCAGCCTGAATGTAACATAAGAGAGACAGAGAGACAAACTGCCTCTCTGTTGCCATTGTTGCTGCTACTCTTCCATTTTGCTCTCTGCTCTTGGCTGCCATCATGAAAAGTTGAACTCTGCTCTGTGCTACTCTGTCTTGGAGCCAGCCAAGTATGGAGTGAAACCCCCAGTAACCGTGAGCTCAATAAACCTTTTCTTCCTTCATTTTGGGTGTCGGGCATTTGTCCCAGTAACAACAGAAGAATAACTGAAACACTGCACATCAGAAGAAATCACCAACACAGTAAACGCATGAATTGGAAAAAAATTTTAGCCAACTATTTCTGAGATAAAGGACTTCTATCTAGAACATATAAAGAATTAAAAAACAAAATAAAACCGCAGTCCTTCAAAATTCAAAGAATCCAATACAAAATAGGCATCTGAGATGTATATATACTTCTCAGATGATGAAACATAAATGGAAAATATATGAAAAAATGTTTAATATGATTTGTCATTTGAGTGATGCAAATTAAAATAACACTGAGATTTTATCTCACCCGAGAAAGAATGGTTATCATCAAGAAGTCAACCAATAACAAATTCTGGACAGGCTAAGGGGGAAAAAAAGGAACTCTCTGTTACTGTTGGTGGGAATGTAAACTAATACGACCACTGGGGAAATCAGCGTGGAAATTTCTAAAAAAACCAAAAAACAAAAAACAAACAGAGTTAGAGGTCCAATTTGATCCAACTATTCCTCTGGATATTTTTCCAGAAGAAATGAAAACATCATACACCACAGTGATATACGTGCACTCATATTTATAGTCATTCAAGTTGTCATAGCTAAATCTTGGTGACAACCCAAATACCAATCAACTGAGGAAGGGATAAAAAAGATGTGCTATTTATATACAATGAAGTATTATTGAGCTATATAAAGAGATAAACTCTAGGCTTTTAAGGGTAAATGGATGCAACTAGAGACCATATTCACAAGTGAAATAAATCAGACCCACAGGTGTAAATATTGTATTGTCTCCCTAGTGTAAGAATTTGAAAGAGTAAATAAAATCTGAAAGATACAATAGATACTATGAAAGAGAAAGAAACTGTTTAAAGAAAAGGGACAACTGGGCTGAGGGAAAGGAGAAAAGAAAGGAAAAAAGAAGGGGAAAAATATATGTATATACACAAGATAGCTTGGATAATTGTACTGCTGATTTCTGGTGGTCTATATTTAAAAAAATCTTTTTATTTATTTTTACTTACCTGGTACAGGGTCTCACTATGCAGCTTGGACTCATTGTGATCCTCCTGTCTCACCCTACCTAGTGCTGGGATTATACGTGTGCGCCAGCATGGCATGTGTTACGGGAATTGAACACGAGTCTTTGTGCTTGCCAGGCAGGCATTTAGACTGCTGAGCTATTTCTCTAGCTTCTGTTGGTCTAGTGAAAGTTGCAGTTGATGCTTACTTTTTTTTTCTCTCTTTCCTTTTTACATTTTTCTAATTTTTTGATGAAGCTTGCATGCTTATATCTGGTAATTTGAACAACTAATTTGAAGACAACAATATACAATATAAAAACCATTTTTGATTTCTATCATTTTGTTTAGTGAAATTCTACACTTTTTGTTTTTTAAAATTATTTCTTATTCTCTTTAAAAATAAAATATAAAAAGTGGAGAATAACAGTTTGTTGTTTTTTTACCAAAGAAGATGATTCTAGTGATCTGAGGTTAAAGGACAGATGTTTTGAGATACCTCTGTCCTAAAGATACCACTTCCTTTGACTGTTTTTTTGGGAACCAAAGTTTGAACCAGAGCAATGGATCTAGTGGATTTAGCAATTTATCCCTAAAGGCTCCAACCCCAAGCTCTTACTCAAACAACAGTATGTGTCAATGAATTGAAGCAGGTTATTTTAATCATATACACAATCACAGTTAGCAAAAGATTTATCTATTTCATATGATCTTCTATTTTACCTTTCAGTTTATTTATACTTTGATCTTTTGAAATTGGGAAGAGTATCAAGAGATGGAGGAAGAAAAGAAGAAACAGAAGGGGATGTGAAAAGAATTAAGTTGTGTCATTGCATGTACCAACATCCCATAATGAGTTTTTCTTGTAGCACACATATGTATGCATCAAAAAATTTACTTTAAACAAAGTTTTACAGTGCCTTTGTTCTCTAACTTTTTTTTTTTTTTTTGAGATAAGGTCTTCCATTCAGGCTGGCCTCATGCTCAAAAATATCCTTCTGCTTCAGCCTTTTGAGTGCTGAGATTACAAGCATGTGCCATCATGCTTGGCTGTTCTCTGATTTTTTTTTTTTTTTTTTTTTTTTTGTTTTGTTTTGTTTTTTTTTTTTGTGGAACCGGGGATTGAACTCAGGTCTCTAAGCTTGCCAGGCAAGCGCTTATTCCACTGAGCCATCTCCCTGGCCCCTGTTCTCTAACCTTGAGTTTAGAGAAAAACCATTGAGAGAAAAATACACCTCCATGTATGTAAGTTAGCAGCATACTAAATAAGCAACATACAGTATTTAATTGTTTTTAGTTTTAAAATAACTGAATAATATTCTTTAGAAAATGGCAGAGATGCTCAAATGGATAATACAATGTAAAAGTGGTTAAACTCATCAATATTTTGTAGAGGTAACAACAATGAAGATGGAGTGCATCCCAGGATAATGTGCTGGTTAGAAAGGGAGTTTACATATTTTACCACTTTTATTTCTCAAATCTCTCAACACATTGATTATTCTATTGCTATTCTGTGTTAGCTTTTAATTTTCATTTTAGAATTATAATAAATATTCTTAAAAAGTAGACATATTTCATCAATAAACTGATGGATGACAAAGTAATTTAAAAAAGCAATCTTCAAAACTAACTCATAATAAAGTTTCAGTAAACAGGAATAGAACAAATGTTAATGATACAGGATACCTATTAAAGAAAATCCTACAGCTAATATACCTAAAATAAAGGATGGAATGTTCTCTCTTGAATTTAGTTGCCGCACTTTAAGATTGGACAGGTAAGGACATCTACAATTACCAGAATGTCTAGTAAGTACTAGGAAAGATGATACAGAAGGCAAGCATTATAAATAATATTGCTCCCTCCTTGTGGATGATAGTTATCTATACATAAAAATTTCAGGTATCTATAAAAACCAAGTGAGTGGAGAGTAAAGTTGCTATTTTTGGATAGTAGCAAAGACTAAACACTGAGCTACATTCCAGGCCCTTTTAAAAGTTCTGAAACAGGGTCTTTAAGCCACTAAGTTACACAGGATGGGCTTGTACTTGCAATTCTCCTGTCTCAGTGTTGTGCAGTGCTGAGATTTACAGGCATGTTTATGATGAACACAGACATAGGGTGAGGAGATGCCTGCATGGGTGTGATTTGGTTACAGTGAAAACACCACATACTGAGGAAAGTCAGAACAAATTTTCACTGTTAGGATATCTATAAAGAGGAAAGTAAAAAGAACTTGAAGTAATGTGTTGATCAGAAATGAAAGTATTTTACAGTATAAATAAATACATGTGAAAATAGTTACAAAGGTACATTCTGTATGTCTGTGAAGCCATACTTGTAGTTTTCTCCTTCTGCTGCCCATGAAGAAGTAACAACCTACTAGCACGAGTACCCTGGGTATCTGTAAATCAGCTTTTACATACATATATTATCAAAAGGAACCAAGACTTCTTGGAAAAATGTCTAATTTAGGACCTGGGTCAAGGGAGGAAGAAGATTAACAGCAGAAAGGTATTTTATAAATGTAGGTGGAATGATGGGAAGAGAGAATCACTATCTGACAAGTGAAGGCTGATTCAGGCAGAAGATGTTAATGGACTCCAAGGGTCGCAGGTTGAGCACTGATAAAAAAATGTATATTTAAGTATATGAAATACATTCTTAGTATATTGAAAAAATAAAAACAGAAAATAGTTCAGGATGGGTAAAGCTAGCAATCATCAACACAAGCAGGACAGTGAGAGCAATGTTAACATCACTGTGGTAGAGTGTGCAGGTTAACATCCTATATGTCCTGATAAGATGGACTGAGAAGTCTTGCAGTAGAACTTTTTTTTTTTTTGGGTACTGGGGATTAAACTCAGAACCCTACACTTGCCAGGCAAGCGCTTATTCTACCCAGGCTATCTCCCTGAGCCCTAGACTTTTTTTTTTTTTTTTTTTTGCAAAGAACTCATTATCTGAATTAGGTACTAAGAAAACAAGGTTATCTTACAGAAGGCATTGGCCATATTCTTTTAAACTGTTGAATACTACTTATGAAAAATAGAAAAAACCTGAGAAAATTTTAGATAGAAGTAGTTGAAAATATGTGACAGATCCAACAGGATTCTGGGAAGAATCCTGGACTAGAAAGAAAACATACTTTAAGACAGCTGGTGAAATGTGAATGGGGCCTATGTGTGGCTAACATGGTGCTATACAAAAGCTGACTTCCTAATTTGGAGGGCTGTAGCTAGACTACAGAGGAGTGAGCCCTTCCCTTCTAGAATATTAGGGTGGGATATGGGAGAGAGACAAACAATTAAATTCAATATTTAAAATACTTACCAATGACTTTAACAAAATAGGCATCTGCTTCAAAGTTATTTTTTAGGGTGTGGATGGCAAAATCATTTTTAGTATATCCTTTACTCAGTACTATAATGTCCAAGATTCCCTGAGGAAAAAAAAGACCAAAATGGTAAGAACAAAGTACTAGATGAAGAAAGAAAAAGATGATTGAAATGTGCGGCAGAGCTATAAGGATGAGCACTTTGCGCAGCCCTTCATGTTAAAGGCTCGATTCCAACCTGTGGGGCTGCTGGGAACTAGTGGTATCTGCAGAGGTACAGCTTGAGGGAAGTGAGGCTAATGGGGTGACCCCATGGAGTATGGGACCCTGGCCCTTCTTTCTCCTCTGTTTCCCAGCTGCAAGAGGTGAGCAGATTTCCTTGCTTGCTGGCTCCCACCACATGGAGGCAAATCAAACAGGCTCAGCAACCAAACTGCTGAAATCAAGGCCAAAATAAATCTTTTTGTCTTTAAATCAATTATTAATGTATTCTGTCACAGTGACAGCAATATAACAGTATGTTTTATCATTTAAGTATAAATGTTACTCAAGCTGATGTGTACAATAAAATTATTAAAAAATACATATATATACACACAACTTTGAATAGTAAAAAATAAAGTGGAAAATATCTAATTTTATTTTTGGATATGCTTGTTAGTATTTTGGTAAATTTCCTTCTCGTCATATTTGCGTAATGTTTTAAAGGTCTGTCACTGGGGTTACTGCGACCTTTCCATCCATAAAAAAGAGGACATTTGCACCTCTCCTGCCTTCACTGTGTATTAGCATTTTTTTTTCTTTCTTGACTAAAAAGGGAAGCTTTGCTAATTTCATTATGAATGCCAATTTTGAGTGACTTTCTTTAAGCTGTCCTCATGAGACTGGCCATATAGCATACATTCTTTTTTCATTTATCATATTTTGACATATGTTAGCAACTAGGGCTTTCTCTGTAAGTTGAAGTTGATTGTGTTCTACTTTTCCAGATATTTTTTTCTTTTGGAATATATCAATTTGTACAAATTTTCTTTTTCTTTTTTTTTTTTGGGCGGTACCGGGGATTGAACTCAGGACTTTGCACTTTCCAGGCAAGCGTTGATTCTACTGAACTATCTCCCTGGCCCCTGTACAAACTTTTATACATTAAAGATATCAATTATTCAACTCCTTAACAGTAAAATTAATTCCCTGGTCTAAAACAACTCAGGTTCGACCCCCAGCGTGCTGTGCAGGCCCTGCCCTCGGGGTGCACTGAGATGGCGATTGAGACTGGGCATGGTGGCATGTACCTGTAACCCCAGCACTTGGGAGGCTAAAAACAGAAGAATCAGTAGGAGTCCAATCTACATAGTGAGACCCTGTAGGCCCTGTATTCCATAGACCCTGTGCTAAATTAAAAAAAAAAAAAAAACCTCTCAAACTTGTTTTATGGTATTTTTGATGTAAATAAAAAATCGATTTGTAGTCAATTCTCTTGATTATCTTCTCCTTTGGAATATTTCTGTCAATTACTATTTTGCTTGGAAAATGCTAATGAAAAGTGAAATTAAGATTTAGTAGTTGGACAGAGGAAAATAAAGATTTGTATAACTAATATTTGAGAATAGGCAGTGCCAGGTGTAGCTCCCACCTTAGGAAGAGAGAACTCATCCTACTGGCCAGCCAGGCTCGAGTCCACTCTCCTTTGGCTCTGCTTCTGTGGATGTACCACTGTGTAAGTATTCTTTGGAAACTTAATCCTAATGAGCACAATATTTAGGTAAGGAGATTTTCCTACTTGATTATAGTGATCTATCAATAGTATCAATACATTTTTTTTTCCCCTCTACCATTTAACTTTCAGAGGCATTTCCTTAATTTTTTGTTTTCATGTCATCTACATTTTCTGGTCAAATAGGGTGAATCGAAAGTAAAATGAGGTAGAAGATAATGAACTTACATCTTCGTAAATGTCAAAGAAAGTGGCGACCACAGCATCTCTGATTTGATTTAAGTCCGTCAGATCCCAGTAGACTTTAAACATCCGATGAGCCCCCTCACAGCTTGCATTATTACAAGGGACATTCTCCAGCAAAAAAGCCTGCTGGTTGCTGTATGACAAACAAAAGGCATTTAATTATATAACATGTCAGTGCTGTGCAGCAACAGCTGTGCTGTGTTTTCTAGAATCCAAGGAGATAGGAAATGAAGATTAAACAACTTCCCACTTTTTTGGATTACTATACTGTTATTTTATAAAAAACAAGTTTCTGGCTATCTTTTCTCAACCTCTGACAACAGTTTGATTTTCTGAGAATAGTCAGCTGCTGGTCTCTTCCCTCTTTAAAAGGTGTTTGATATCTTTTTTTTTTTGTTTGTTTGTTTGCAGAACTGGGGATTGAACTCAGGCCCTTGTGTTTGCCAGGGAAGTGCTTATTCCACTGAGCCATCTCCCAGGCCCGGTGTTTGGTATCTTGAAAACATTTCTTCTCTGCCTTTTTATTATTAAAATTTTTATTGTGTCCTTCATTAAAGGTTATAATATTTAATAGTCATGCATGTCAATATTTTTCCTAATAGAACTTTAGGACATCTACCCTTCCAGATGATAATGTAAATATATACAAAGAACTGAAGAGGACTAAAACTGTCAAATGCAATTTTAAAATTAAAATGTCTTTTAGAAGAATTGACTTTTTTTTTTTTTTTTTTAAAAAAAACAAGGGCTGGCAAGATAGCTCAGTGGACTAAAGCACCTGCTTAGGCAGGTATAGGCAAGCACAGGGACTGTGGTGCAATCCCTGACACCATATGCCGCACTAGCCCTGCCCCCAGGGCAGGCTGAACTGGCCAGAGATGGAGCAGGGTGGCACACACCTGTAATCCCAGCACTGGAGAGGCTGAAAGTGGGAGGGAGGATCACCATGAATCTGAGCTGCATAGTGAGACTCCGTGACAACCAAATACATTTAAAAAAAAAGTAAAACAAAACAAAACCAACCTATTAAGATTATAGTATCATACATCGATGTAAAATGTGTGATTAAAAAAATATAAAGGTCAGAAGAAGAGATCCAAAATATGTATTGGAACATTCTCAAGTATTTGGAAATTACATAAGACACTATGGAATTATTCAAAGGTAAAAGAAAAATTAGAAAGTAGTACAAATTGAATGAAAATGAAGATATTGCCTATCAAAATTTGTGGGATGTCATGAAAGCAGTAGAGGTAAATGTACAGCACTCAACACCAGTATTAGTAAGAAAAATGTTGCAAATCATTGACTTTAGGTTCCACTTTAAGAAAGCAGAAATATAACTAAAAAAAAAAAATCGTGAGGACTAATGGAAATGTCATAGAGGAAATGAATTGGATGAAGATAGAAAAATCAATGGAAACACAAGGTTTTTTGTTTTGCAAAGAACAATAAAATTAATTATCTTCCATTCAGCATGTTATATACTTCTTTTATCAATACTAATACCAATTATTACAAATATTTAATACGAGAAAGGAGAAAGTTGACATTACTGATTATTTTAGTGATACTGAAAGGATAGTAAAGCAATGTTATAAAACAATTTGTGCTAACACAATCTACAAGTTAGTTGAAATGGGCAAACTTACTCAAAATTTAAATACACAAAAGTTCAAATTGAAATTGTAGTGTATCACTTTTCAAAAATTTCAGACCAAGATGACTTTTCTGGTGAATTCTATACACATCCTATGAAAAAGTAACTACAGTTCTATAGAAGACCCTCAGAAGATAGACAAGGTGGACACATTTCTCTACTCATCCCATGAGGCCCACATTAGATATCAAAATTAAGCAAAGACCTAGTAAGAAAACCATAGATCTACTCCTTTCATGAAGAATGATACAACTTTTTTTTTCTTTTCATTTTTCCTTCCCTTCCTACCCTTCCCTCCTTCCTTCCTTTCTTAATGTATTTAGTTGTTACAGGATCTCTCTATACACAGCTCAGACTTGTGGTGATCCTCCTGTTTTCAGCCTCCCCAGTGCTGCGATTATAGGCATCCATGCTGGCTCAGCCTGCCCTGCGGGTGGGGCTGGCGCAGCATGTGGTGTCAGGATTTGAACCACAGTCTCTGTGCTTGCTCAAGCCTGCCTAAGCAGGTGCTTTAGTCCGCTGAGCTACCCTGTGGGCCCTCAATACAACTTTTAAATATGAAATTCTAGATTCGACCCAGAACCCGGTGAGTGGGACTGCCCAGGGCCTGCCAGATCATCATTCAACCCAGGCCTGGTGTGTGAGTGGGACATCCCAGAGCCCACCTGGGCATCATTTGAGCCAGGGCCCAGGTCCAGTGTGAGTGAGACCATCCTGGGCCTGCAGGTCTTCATTCGAGCCAGAGCCCAGGCCCAGTCTGTGAGCAGAACTTCCTCCATCAGACAGGCCCAGTGTGGAATCCTGTGGGAGAACTCCCTGCAGAGAGGCTAGAGGCAAAACCCACCTAGCTGATCCTGGAGCAGAACATCTTACCAGAATGGCACAGAGGGTTTACCTCCAAGGGCTGCCGCAGGAAGAAGTGGAGTACAGCAGCCAGATCCAAGCCACACCCACCTGGACCAGTTTGAACTTGGAAGATCTGGACCTGGTGCTAAGATAATAATTATATCAAAGCTCTACACCAAAGGTCAAAGGGCAGTGCTATACAAAATGACAAAGAGAAGGAGCAAAATGCACTGTCAGGCCACCCAGAACAAATGCAGGAGACAACAGCATAGAAGAAACTGGAAACCACACATCTGAAATCTCTGAAATAATAGTGTCTGAAATAAAGAAATAACTGCAGAAAGGTATAGAGGAAATCAGATCAAAAATAATTTCTGAAGTAAAAAAAAAAAAGAAATGATAACTATAATGAAAGTAGTACTAAGTGCTTCTAAAGAGGACACTGATTAAAAAAAAAATAGAGGAGACTAGAAAATTGATGGAATCCTTGAATGAGCAATATAGGAAAAAAGTAGAATGCATGAAGCAGATTCAAAGTGCTATACAGGAAACTAAAACCTTAATCACAAGCTGGCAAAACCGTTTGAATGAAAGTGAAAATAGACTTTCAGACCTTGAAGATAGTGTTGCAGCTAGTAAAAAGGTAAGAACAGATCTCTTAAAAACAACTATTTGCAGGAAAAAATAATTCAACATCTGCAAGATGATGCAAAGATGAACAATGTAAGACTATTAGGCATCAATGAGAAAGGAGTCAATACAAATGATATAAAAAGAATATGGACGGAAGTAATAGCAGAAAACTGCCCAAATATGGGGAAACAATCTGACATTCAGGTAACCGAAGTGTATAGACCTCCAAATAACATCAAGCCAATTAAAAACACACCCAGATATACAATAATCAAGATCCCAGAAATTCAGCACAGGATCAGTATACTAAAAGCCACTAGAGAAAAGAAACAGATCATATTTAAAGGAAAACCCATCAGAATAACAGCAGATTTCTTTTCACAAACCATCAAGTTAAGAAGATCATGGAGCAAAGTACTTCAAGTCTTACAAGAAAACAAATTCCAACCCAGACTGATAAACTGCAAAACTCTCTTTTCAAGTTTAATGGGAAACTGAAATACTTCCATGACAAAGATCAACTAAAAAATTTTATGACAAAGCTAACCCTACACAGACTACTAAAAGATATTCTAGAGAAGGATCAAAATGACCACAACTCCATGAATGAGAACAGAAAAAATCCACCAAATAGGGCAAATAAACACAGGAGAAAAAGAGGTATACAAAAGCAGTATTTCAATTATTCTTTTGTATACAGCAGCAAAATACTTCCATCAGCATACTCTATTAATGGACTTCTCTTGCACCCTATGGGTCATGATTCTGTCCAGGTCTACAGGGTGGGTATCAAGGAAATAGCAGTAGCTCAGTCCCACAAGTGACACCTGGCCACCAGTAAGCTTCATGGACACTGGCCACGTCTACAACATACCAGAACTTTGTGTAATATCCTATCTCCAAATTGTTAGAAATGCTGGTCATATATTTGCCATTCCAGTGTTTATGCTATGCTTTACTCTTATTAATTCTTTACTATTATGAAAACTTTTTCTTAGGTGAATTGTTTTGAAATATTTAATTTTAATTAATATTTAATTAATTTTCTAAATACTGTTTAATCTTAACTTTGATTTTAAGATTTATACTGTATATTTGACTTACAATCTACTTGTAAGACATGGTATGATATTTTCTCCTAGTATTAGAAACTTTAAAAAGTATATTTCCATTTTCCATTGACTTTATATTAGTTGTCTTTTACACACATACACACGGAAAAATATGTATATAACCCGACATAAGATTGATCCTGTTTTGTAGAAATCTTCAATGACCTTTTAAATGGGTTCATCTAATATAGCTTATATAGTCCTGTATAACTACCATTCATTCCAATTTTAGTATATGTGCTGCCGAAGCGAGCACATATAACTACCATTCGGAGAGCTCTTTATTCTTTATCGAGGACCATACAGCAACTTCTCTTGCCTTCTGGATTATGCTCTTTGTTATTTTCTATATGCTACGTCTGGAGGTATTAGAATATTTTGAGTCTGTATAATTGGAAAATGTTTTACTTTTAGTTTTCAAAGGTATGTTTGCTAAGTATAATCAATGAGGACAGAACTTTTTTTCTTTCAGTCCTTTTAATTCGTCTAGTTTCTTACACACTTGCTTTTTTTTTTTTTTTCTAATATGGAATAAGATGCTATTTAATTTTTTTCTTCTATAGCTAATTTTTTAAATCTGTATGCTTTAATTATTTTTTTTTCTATAGCATTAGTTTTGGACAATTTCATTTTTGTGTATCTTGGTATATTTTATTCAAATTTCTTGTGCAAATGGTTCATTTTTCAAGGAAATGTGGTGCTATAATTTCAACTACATTCAGAAATTTTAAATCTTTAAATATTTATTGCCTACCCCTTTTTACTTTGAGAATCCTAATTTTATGAATATAAGTTTCTTGATTTTGGCACAGAGTGAACTATTATATGACTGATCTGTAAATTCTTCATTTTTATTTTGGACAATTTTTATTGTTATAGTCA